GTGACATTGAGCACTGCATGGCAGATGGTGGAGAAGCCAAATTTCTATTCTGGGCAAAGGTGATGCTTTCAGGAATTCACCTACAGTTAATGCAGCAGGTGAGAAAAATAAATCTTCACACCAGAATGGAAAAGTGACCCAAGATTCTCATTCTGGGTTTCATTCTCTGATTTTGGATTCTCATTCTGGGTCTCATTCTCTGATTCTGATTCCAGTGTTAATGCAGCAGGTGAGAAAAATAAATCTTTACACCAGAATGGAAAAGTGACCTCCACCTCACTCCCTGCAGAATCCCAGCCAAACCTCGACTCTGGAACTTGAAAAGTCAGAATCAGGGGTGGAAAGAGGAGCTGTGAGGGTTAAATCAACTTAATTCTTCATTTATTTAGGGAAATCAAGGTGGGGACATTGAGCACTGCATGGCAGATGGTGGAGAAGCCAAATTTCTCTTCTGGCAAAGGTGATGCTTTCAGGAATTCACCTACAGTTAATGCAGCAGGTGAGAAAAATAAATCTTCACACCAGAATGGAAGAGAAAAGTGACCCAAGATTCTCATTCTGGGTCTCATTCTCTGATTTTGACTCCAGTGTTAATGCAGCAGGTGAGAAAAAGAAATCTTGACACCAGAATGGAAAATTGACCTCCACCTCACTCCCTGCAGAATCCCAGCCAAACCTCGACTCTGGAACTTTAAAATTCAGAATCAGGGGTGGAAAGAGGAGCTGTGAGGATTAAATGAACTCAGCTTTAGGTAAATAAAGGTGGTGACATTGAGCACTGCATGGCAGATGGTGGAGAAGGCAAATTTCTCCTCTTGGCAAAGGTGATGCTTTCAGGAATTCACCTACAGTTAATGCAGCAGGTGAGAAAAATAAATCCTGACACCAGAATGGAAGAGAAAAGTGACCCAAGATTCTCATTCTGGGTCTCATTCTCTGATTTTGATTCCAGTGTTAATGCAGCAGGTCAGAAAAATAAATCCTGACACCAGAGTGGAAGAGAAAAGTGACCCAAGATTCTCATTCTGGGTCTCATTCTCTGATTTTGATGAGAAGACAAAACACAAATGAAAGAGAAGGAAACATCAGCTCATGAGACTGATTCCCTCTAAACACAAAGCTTGGAGCAGATTTCAAGGAATTTCTGAGGTTGACATGAGAATAGCATTTTGATATTTTAAATATTTGTAGAAATAGATTTATCTAGCTGCAGAAACTCAGGTAAACACTTCTTTAAAACATTCAATATTTGCATTGTACCAACTGGGATGTGGTTTCCATTCTCCCGTTCCTCCTCTTCGCTCATTTCCTCCTCGCTCACCTCCTCTGCAAAACAGAACCAAGTTTGGTTGGAAAAATCCAAATTTCTGCAGCTCCCTGGGAGGAAATCCCTGCTGGAATCCTCTCCCACCTCTGCCATGACCAGGAAATTCTGTTCACTTCCAGCAGGGAACACAACTCTTACCAGTTCTCTGGGAACTGGGATGTGGGCAGGTAAATAAATAATGAATATTTCCTGATTAATTGTAATTATTTTAAAGAAAAACACCCAGCCATCAGTCAGAGCCTGCTCTTGTGCCTTTACTAATTAATGACAAGCACAGCTGCACTCAGACTTCTTTACTGAACTTGGAATTATTTTCTGTTGCAAATTTCAGGAGTTTTTTCCAAATGAATGAAGATAATAACACAAAATGCCAAAGATATTTGGATTTCACCCCCACAAAGTGCAAATTGTGCTGTGCAGAGCATTTGATGGCACAGAACCTCTGACAGAAATGGCTCTCAGGTTTCTGCTCTGGCTCCTGAGATAAGAATTGGTGTTATCTCTACCAAAAGGACAGAATGGGACTTGGGGGTTTTATTTTGTGAGGTCTCAGCCTGGCCTAGACTAAGAGAAAAGGAAAATGTTCCAATAAAACAGCACAGCATGAGGAAAATAAAGGAAATCAGGCAGCCCTTGGTGGAATCCTCACCTGCTGATTGCTCAGACACCTCCTCAGAATTGCTGCCTGTCTCCTCCTCCTCCTCCTCTTCCTCCCCCTCCTCCTCAGAGCCTTCACTGCTGGACTCTTCCTCCTCCTCTTCTGAGCCTGATCCAGATTCTGTCCAGGAATAATCAGGCATTTAACACTCACAGAGAAATGAATGACATCTCTACAATTAATTACAGCTCCTAATTGCATTCAATCACCTGAGGAAGACTCTGCTGAGCTGGTTTTTCTCTCGCTGTCACTGATGTCCTGCAAGTCTGACAGAGGATCCCTCTCTTCTGGTTTCTCTTCTTTTACTGCTGAAACCACAAAAATTAAAAGCACAGTGCTAATTGAGTATCATTTCCATTTCTGAATTCCCTGCTTCACTTTCTGCTGGCATTAAATCAGTGCTGAATATTCAGTATTGGAAATTCACAGCACTAAAAAAATTAATAATAAGAATCATTTCACACTCTGCTCAATGACAAACAGCTTTGCTGAATTGTAGTGGTGCAGGTTTAACAACCAAAAATATGAAATATTGACCTGATTTTTAAACATGAGGTGTTCCTAAGATGAATTAAAATGGGGAAAAAAAGGGAAAAAAAGCACCATGGTGACAAAAATCACCAGGACAGGTCCCTACACACTGGTTACTGCCAGAGTGCTCACTATGAAAAATCTCTGGTGTTGATGGGGCAGGAGCTTCCCAGGCCTTGC